ACCATGCAACCAGGCAGGCTGTTATACTTGCTTCCAATAATAGGTATGGCAAAAACGCATAAACGTTCGTTCTAGATTCCACAAGGTCCGTATTTAACATAGCGTTACGTATGTTTTTTAAGTATATCTATCTTAGTAATTAAGCATCATCTCGTTATGGGTACTAAGCAAGTTATAGGTACAGCTGATTATATACCTCTTCCTATGGCTTCCAGATCGGCCGGTTGAAAGTTACCTTCACTCAGCAGTAGCTCCCTGTGCTCGTTTGCAGTAAATAAAATTGGTAGATGGGAATAAATTGATCTGTTTAACATCTGTTCATAATTAATTGATTGATAAGATAGATATGGTTTTAAGTTGATAAAATAAATTAACCCAAATATCCCAATCCCAAACGGATACTAAATCAATGGTCTCTGTAGCGGTCACAATCATAACATAATTAGTTTATAATTTAGGTACTTCTAACTAACTAAAACAATAGCGTGAGAAGGATATACCCCTGCAGTAATAACATGGTGACACATACAACAAAATGTACTGACTTGTCCTCAAATGTAAACATTAGGAGTCATCCTACAAATCAATGAAACTTAAGATTTTTCCATGCACAGCGTAGTGATTAGATGAACAAGAATCTTGTAGTTACACGTGTTTTAATTTTTCCTTTATCAATTTTATGGCCACCTTACTATTAATTCTTTGATTAATTCTTTTATCAAACTGTTTGAATTCTAGTTGAGATTGAGATCATCCTTTGGCTTTGGGTTAAGGCTTTCTTTCATTTCTTTACATGGCTTTGTGCATTTCATCATCAACAACTGCCGGGAGACGTCCACTGCTGGACTAATCCTTGGTACATTTATTGAGGTTAAATTTATTTTACAGGAATGCAAATTAATTATAATTAAAAGGAAAGCTATCGCAAGAAAATATTCTTATTTTTCTCGTTTACCACCTAGCTAGGTTTAGCGCGCATTAGTATCACTTGATTGTAAGCAATAGCCCACACACCTGTAACTGCAAGTACCTACTACAACACAAGAGGAGTATACGTGCATAGTCTGATTGTTTGTAAAGATTGGGGTATTGGGTCTCAGCTCCGAAACCCTCTATCATAAATCACACCAACGTTGTCTTGTGTAAAATTGCGACATCACTGATCGAGCGGGCCCGTAGGCCCATTCGGCCTGAAGCATGGTTTTCCCGCTTTTTAGCCTTACTTTAAGGTATCTTAGTACTTTTAATACAATTTTAAACTCTGGTAGGTGTTCTAAAATTACGACCAATGATCGTAAAATGGCAGCAAGCAGCATCCCTTAATTTTAAGTGACCTAACTGCAATTCCTAAGTTGAAGAGAGGATTACCTACGGTATAGGTATTGGAGGCAACATGTCTAAGTGCTATGCAAAGTGTTGCAAGTTCGATTATCGCACAGGACAATTGTTTATGTGATGCAATACAAATTGAAGGTCTTGGTCTGGTTGTGAGTGTGACATCTATGTGAAATTTAAGTATACATATATGCAAACACTCTCAGGACACACGAATCCTAGTGTGAGGCCACGTTTGAACTATCGGTACCTACACAAGCATTGATTGAATATGCACGCGCACAGTCACCAGCAGCGCAATCACCGGTTTCGTGTTCTGGACTCCAGACTCCATAATACGGACATAGAACAACATGTCCATTTCATACCATAGGCCATGTAGTAGTACCGTAGAATGGCCATTGGGCTATCCCAATGTTCATATAAAAAGTAGGTAGGTAAACTAATTATTAGTGATATTATGATACGGAGCCGCGGAGGACTTAACGGATTGCCAGAGCTCCGGCTCGAAGTGTACGAGTAGGAATGGGCTGGCATGGCGTGGCTTTTAGTCAGTAAGAGCAGACTCTCTGCTCTTACTGACTAGTGGCACTCTTACTGACTGAGACAGTCCCTCCCACTCGGGTGGGAGAAGTTATTGGATGATTTTACCCCCACAAAAACAAAGAAACACATTTGTCAGACATCTCACTGATGGTTTAACTACTTATTTACATAATAATAACATTGATGGCACGGTTGGTGCGGTGGTTGATCCATCGGCTGCCGCGCAACGTGTCGTGGGTTCGATTCCCGCATAGAGCAACTCTGTGTGATCCATAAATTGTTGTGCCGGTTCTGGGTGTCATGAGTACGTGAACTTATATGTTTGTAAACGCACTTACGACACAAGAGAAAATCCTAGTATGGGAAACGTTTTTTAAAAAACAAAACAGTAATGTTTGAAATACAGCAATATGAATGTAAAAAAATATTTAATAATGAAGACGGCACGATAGAATTTGTTTCGTTATCAATTATAATCACACACCTGCCATTTTGACTCTCACCAATTTTGATAATAAGTTTTTGATTGATAAAAGTTGTAATTTTTGTGTTGCTTAATAGGTGAGTGTGTATCCGAACGAAGAGAACATTTCGAATGTCAAATGCACGTTCCATTATACGCTCGACAAGTAACATCTAAGCAAAACACGCCGATTTTAAATGTAAAAGTCAATAAAAGATCTTAATCTGAATTCAATGTAATTCGGAACAGAGATTATAAATTTATGAATTTATAAAAAGGCATATTTTATTTTAAGGAACTAAATACCATTATCGATACATGTATTATTGTGATGATCGGAACGTGTTCTGAAAAACCTTGAGACGTTGGCATTTTTGGCATTTCGTTGGCTCCCGTTTGGCAGATGGGAAAAATGAATTGATCGAAAAGAAAAATCTTTGCCAGGATTATCTGAATGATGTCATTTGAGTGATCTAAAATCTAAATAAGATATTAATTCTGTTTGTCTATAAAATAATTTAGTTAGAAAAATGGCTTCGCGCGGTGGTATTATGGTGACTGGTACGAATGGAGCCGATTTCGAACACAGAGAGAAAATAGCAGCACAATATCAGATTAGGTACGTAATTTGGCTTATTTACAAGAATTTAAGGACGTACGGAAGAATTTAATTGGATGTTGAATGAGAGCTTGATCTACAGTTGATATATTTTTTCGACCAAGTTCCGTCAAATTATTTTTAGACAAAAGCAGTCGATAGCGAATAATGTTTCGCGCCAATTATTTGAAAAGGCTCCCACATTTGTATATAACACAGAAATAATGAATGGTATTATCGTCCTTCTCAGAATTCCTCTGAAGTCGTTGATAAACAAAAATGACATTGTGTTGTCAGTAAAACCAAAACAATGTAGTGTGCTCAGTTTTTAGGTGTTACGATACGTATTTCCTAGAATATAAACGTTTAATATACTAATACCTACCGTTCGGTGCTAAAAATCCATAATATAAAAATTCATGATGAGTGAAAGTATTGTATTTGCACCTACACTGTTCCCAGGCTAGCCATATGTTGCACATGTTGGCTTGTGATATCATAGCATGTCAATTATCTTCCTGTATATCAAAAGAAACCATACATAATATTTAATGAGTAATATGCTCCAACATAAAACTTTATAATGCCCAACTTCCTTAGTAAATTACTAAGAAATCAAACAGTTCATGATTTTTTGTGCTTGTAAATTTAATGTCTTCGTAATTTTACAGAATTGGTTATAGCTTAGCATTGAATTAGAATTAATTAAGTGTTAAACACTGATGTGTAACCAGTATTTTACAATTGATTGATTTTATTATAAGAAATACTTTATAATAAACAACCAAAGAGTTCACATTATATATTCTATGACAAACCTATCTTGCCTAATTGAGTATGCCTCTACAGTTTACATGCAAGCAATCTTTTTTTATTTGGGAAAGGGTAGGTGCTTGGCCGCTATCTCGCCTGATGGTAATCTTATTGAAAAAGTCCTTTGGCAAAAGACAGAAACTTGATTAGTATAGATTAATTATTTTGATTAAGTTTTGATGTAATATAAATACAGTATGTAGTTACATATTGAATCTTTGTGCTGTTAATTCAGTCGTTCCATGAATACCCTCCAAATTAATAGTTAATTATATTATTAATGTTTCACATTCCAGTGCTTTAAACAAGTCCCGTCTGAAGTACTGTGTGTTCTTCCACCACATAATGTTCCTGGTGATGCTGGCGAAGCTCTCGGCAGACATCCTCGACAAACTCGACATATTTATTCTAGAAATAGAAGAGTTGCAGATACCACAGGTAAACTTCTGTTCCAGAGACAGTAAGGTCTGACTGAATCTTGTAAATAAAACATATTTTCATACAGCAACTCGTGGTCCAGGTGGACCCCCACGGGAGACTTGCTGGGGGTCTACGTAGGCGTGAATAAACAATGGGGGTCCATAAGATGTTAATGGGAGTCCACGAAAATATTTCTACTTTTGGTAGTAAAGAGCAAAAATGTGAGCATAGTTTTTTTATAAGGGCCTACCTACATTGTTATAAGTACTTTGGTTGTCAAAAGGTGCATGCTTAACGAGATTTTACTCTGTTTTCGATTCCGTATTAGAATTCCTAGAAAGCATAGATCCAGATTTAAAAGAAAACTTCTCTTTTTTCGACTCCCCATACAAAATGACCAAGTTACGTGACCGACTTCGTATGAAAGTCGAAATTTTCTATGCGAATTTCGAAAGGCCATACAACAAATGTTGTTCAAAATGGTTGGTAGAACACGCGGTTGAAGAGATGTAAATGTTCACAAATACACGCTGTATAGGCACAGAACTCATAAGCGACACAATTTTTATTTTTTGGCGACTATAAGGATATGGTAGATATAGGTAGCAGCAGGGGATCCACGGAAACCAGTAAAATTTTGAAAGTGGTCCATGAGAAAAATAAGTTTGGGAACTACTGATACAGATAAATAAAATGGGAGTGTCTGTTTGTAATATTAAACTAACTGCTTTTTATAACATGCACATGAATATACATACAAAATACATACCAAAATAACATATTTTATAATTGTTTGTCTGTTTGTCCTATCTCTGGAATGACTGGACCGATTTTGCAAGACTTTATTGGTAGGTAACTGATGTACTAAGGAGGCTACTTTTATTCTGGTAAACGGAGTCTGGAATAATGCCCAGTATATGGCAATAGGCTTACCTCCTACTACATGGAACCCATAACATAAATAGTGAAAAGTGGGTGTTACATTGCACAGTTGCATAATGTACACCTCTGCCTACCCCTTCGACAATAAAAGTCGTGATGTTTGTATGTCTAAAATATGTTAACTTTTAATGTTGTACTTGTATAATTTCAGCCCCTGTGGTGGGAGTACATCTGGTGCCTCTCCCTCCTCCTATCCTTCTTGGGTCTATCCGCAATCAAACGCAACAACATAAAATATCTCCGACGGTATATGTATGGTATCACTGCACTGGGCTTCGGACCGCTATTGTACTGTGTGCTGTACTACTGCGGAGATGTATGGAGGTACCTGACCATGGATGAGGATGAGGATGACAGCAGTGAAGTGGATATTGAGCTGTGGCAGGTGGGTGTTAGTTTTATGTTGTGAAGTGAGAAAGGGCTATGAAATTGTATATTTCATATCAACAAACATTTTTAGGATAGCAACATGTTTTTTGGGGTATTGAACTCTCATAATAGCAGTCATTTCGATCTGCTGGATATAGGCTTTTCTAATAGCACTCCAATAAGGTCAATCAATCAATCTTCCAAGTTGTGGGCGACTGATTTAGCAGTTTTATGAAACCTTAAGACCTGGGGGCTTACTCTTGAATCCAATTCCGATTGATCGACATTGGTATTGACATTGAAATTTCGTGCTATTGAGACTAGCGCCCATTGCATCCGTATTACGTGGATATGTAATGACCTAAACGGTATTAAGTTTGGGTTGATATTCCGTACTCTGAATAAAATTTTTTTTTTGGAATTATAGGCAAACTAGCAGACGGATCACCTGATGGTAAGCGATCAGCGCCGCCCATGGAATGCTTGGGCTTGTAGTTTTGACATTGAGTAATAAAATTTTTAAGATTTTATTGGATTGAAATTGCATTGACATTGAGATTGGTTTCAAGAGTAAGCACTCTGTTCTTTAACAGACATATTTGAGGTATTTAACATAGTTCAGTAAATAATATTATGTTTCTCAATTCCAGGGCTACCCCTACGGCCTTCTGTGGTACGCGTTCGTGCTCCTCGCCTCACAAATACACTTTTTCCAACTCTACTTCTCATACAATCTGCTAAAAGCTTGGCGTGCAAGAGGCGCGCTAAGGAAATCCGACTAATACACTAGTACATACGGTTCATTTTCCCTTGTTCATACACCACACTGCCAGAGTGAATGAAATAGTCAATGGATGGACATTTACGAGATTTAAGAACAGAATAAAAAAATATTGTGAAAAGAAGGAGGTGATATACCAACTGGCAAATTATCATTTAGTTGTAGCCAATCATGAACATTTAAAACTTCTTATAGGGTACACGGAGGTTGTGTTTATAAACCCACTATTTATACTGTAAATTTGCAAACAATTTGTATCGACTTTGTCAGCATTCATAATGTACTTTTTAGTCAATATTTTTATAATTATGCACACAATAATGTACTCTAAATGCTGTTAAATGCCCCAATAATAAGATCATTTTTGTGTAATTTGAAAAGACAATAGCCTATTGTTTCTCAGAACAAATAGTTTTAAAAGCATTGTATTGGTTGAGAAATGAACCCATTAATAATTCTAACTGACAAATACCGAATAACCAATGGAGTAAATACGGCAATTTTGAAACATTCTAGTTTGTTGTATAATGAATAGTAAAATATAATACACTCAATGTATAAAGTAGATAAGCAGAAAATGTAAGTTAACATCTATTTTAGATACGCTGTTTAATAGTATAACTATAGTTTCGAAGCGCAAATGACATTTAAAATAACGGATGACTGGGTTAGATGCCATTTTGTTTGTGCAATATACATAAGTGCAATAATAACGCCATCTAGTTAAGGTGCGAGTAAATACTCAATAAACAATAAAATGGACTAACTCAGTCAGAATATAATCTTTTTCAATCTATATTAAACTAAATAGTAAATATGTACTTATCAATGTATAGTATTCTAATTTGTTATTACATTTCATACAAGTTATCGTTTTAGTACTCGCCAGTTGGCGCCACTGGCGCTTAAAGTCGTTGGGGTGCTTTTAAGCACGATAACTATAATTTGATATATTTTGGGAGGTTTTAAAATCGCGAGTTTTGTTATAAATGTCGTGTAAAAAAAGCAATTTATGATGGTGTGGAAATTTGACTGAATAGTTGAATTTTTAAGTTATAAATATATTATTTATAATTATATTGTAAAGGTAAAAGAAATCTTTATTTATTTATCATATTTGAAGCAGCAGTAATTGTAACGGAATAATGTGCCACGGTAAATTAAAAGTTTAAACGAATGTTCAAATTAGTGGTTACAATATTTTGTCCTAGGCTTTGCGTTTGAACTGTCTAAATGCCTGAGAATTCTAGACGAATTATGTAAATTAACTTGACCTTTGTGTCCTTTAAACGCAAACCTAGATACGAGGGCCTATAAAACATGTAGGTGTAAGAATGTAAATAAAGCGATATTATTACGTTTCAGTTCAATTTATAATAGACTAAGTGTTTGTTTGTTCTAAAGTTTTCCCATGGTATATTTGTTTTTTAATAATAAAATATTTTGTCAAAAATATTGTGTGTTCTGTCAAATTTTACTGTTACTTAAAAAAGTTATACGATTGCGATACAACGATGTAGTTTCGACAGCCAAAAGCACGTCACACTGCCATCTATTGACCGAGCCCAAAAAGAATCGGGGTTTATCGGTTTGATCTATATCCTTAATACCGCCTGAGATTGTTTAAATGCGAGTGGTTATTACAGTTAATTTGCTGGCTTACTTGTCTAACGACTGATATCAAATGTGCATACTTGTTTACAGCCTCCCTAAACTTTGGGTCTTCAAAGGCGACATTTCAACAACGCTAATCTTTATGTTTGTCCTGAAAAGCGTTTGTTTGGTTCGGGAGACCTCCAAGCGCGATCTAAGCAAGTACATCCAACAACAATCGATTTATCTAAGAAAAACAACATAATTCCATGTGACTACCAAAGGGCACACGATAAGGTGTCGTAAATTAATATTATAAATGGGATTACATGATTATGAGGATTTTGTTCATGTGTACTTCGATTAATAACGTATTTACCCAGTCTAATCTTTTTCTAATTCGTTTCTATTTGTTTTACAATGTCCATGTGATCAGTCCATGTCTCGTTAATCAATAATTGCTACTTTGATACGACTTGGATGTTTTGATGATAAATAGGGCTTCTGTATTCGTGTTAAAATAAGGGTTAACGTTGAGGAGTAACTTTATTACGTATTTGGAGTTTCATGTAATAAATAGGACCTATACATACATCCAGAAAGGTTTAACTTCCAAACTCAGTTTATTATATTGCTGTAATATGGCTCAAATGACTACATAACAATATTTCAAAGGTACATTTTCCAATTAAAATTTAGCGTTCGGCGCTCTGATTGGTTGGTTCATTGGCGCCGGCCAGTCAGAGTGCCGAAAGAGTACTCGTTTCGAATAGTTTAAACGTAAGACAAACTCGTACTAAGGCCAGAACTCGGTAATATCTTCGTAGTTACGTATAAATAACGATAGATGGCGTGATATGCAAAATTTTTCATCTTATTTTAAAATATTTCTCGTCGCTCCACTTGGCTGGATGGAGGACACAGTACATTACGTTTCTCTGTATAATCTTACCTGAATGTAGATAGGTATCTATATACGTAACTTTCTATCAGTAAATAATACTCAACATAAGTCCGAATCAACAAATCGAATCGCGACATAATTTTCAATTATTTCGAGACTGCAAGTGTTAATCCTCACGTCATGTCTATAATAAGATTGAGTTATCAACATAATGTGATGGATCTGTCATCGGACCATATTTCAATCTAAAAACGTAAAATAATTACCGATAACTAGATTTAACTGGTTAGATTACTTATTAAACTTTGTACATTTATAAAGATAAAGATAAAAAGCTGTGGAAAGTACAGGTTTAGGATTTAGCGTACCTAATAATACCTAAGTTAATAATATGTCAACACAAAATGTATAAATTAAATCCTTTTAATCAAAATCAAGTGGGATTTGAGTGTGGTAATCGTGGAATTTTTGGAAATTTATCGCATTTCAACGTAAGCTCGTCAGACGGCAAACGACCGGCGACCGTAAGGATTACTTATCAATCATTAATGGCTTAATTTGAAGGAATTTGAAGATGTTTTGAATTGTTACAACCGATTATCTGCCAGATTACTTGGCAATCGATCAACTTAGATTGGTGATAACACTACCTACTAAGCTATAGGTACGTAGTATCACTTGTTTTTAACATGCAGGTACATAATCAATGGGTGTGGATTGTGTATTTTAATCGTCGATTAGGTCATAAAATAGGTTCTTTTTTTTGGAGATAGATAACTTATGGATTAGTAAGCTACTAACGGTGTGGGCGTCTGATAATAATGTTTTGATTAGGTGCTGTAAATCTGTCTCGGTTCCGATACACGAGTCGGACAGATTAAAAAAGTTTTCGAATAAAATATCCGCTAAATCGGAGTCCTAATAATTGCAACCTGGGGGCAATAGGTGAGAATCCTGATATATAGATTTAATAGAACTATGGGAATAATAATGAGTTAAGTAAAACGTGCAAGAGCATTCACCTTTAACACATTCACTGTCCTGCGGATTTTACAGTGCCCGAATTAACAGGCCTTCCCAGCTGAAGTGATATCGCAGCCTTACAGAAAACCACCGTGAAATAACGCTTGCGTAGTGTTTCACCGTGTGAGGTTTCCAGAGACCCAATCCTCGCCCCCTTCCCAAAATGTCCCAAATCCTTAATTCTATTTAAATTGTCAAAATAAAACAACAGTTTTGCTAGCGGTCTGAACAGTAAGTATATTGTTTATTGAATCGTGTGGGCGTGTCGTCATTCGTCATCAGCTATGTGGACCTCGTCATCAGATCCTTCATCAGCGGTCGGTGGGCTGCCAGCGTCGGCGGAGTCCGGCGTCGTACGCCTCCACTTCGCACGACGGTTTTGAAACCATGTTTTTACCTGGAGAAGAGAGTAGTGTTTAGTTAGGGCATGGTCAAATATACTAAAAGGGTTAACCATTGATTTAGATATCCATCTCATAAGGAGACGTGGATTCAAAGACGTAGATACTATGAATCGCATGAACCTGCTACTTTATCTAATCCGTGGCGTATTTATACATTTATTGCTATAGAACCGATGACAGGCGCCCTCTTGCTTTACAATTTTAACGAAGATAAATAATAAACTAATATTGGATACGTTATGTGTCTATATTTTTAACTGACTTGAAATAATACGCCCTGCGCGTGCTATTTCTTCCTTTGGTATAATAGAAAATAGTTCAGTTTCTATTCCCTCTATCTGGCAACAGTGTGGCGCCGTCTTAATTTCCGCCTTTGTCAATTTAACACACAAACTACTCAAAAGAATAGAAGTAGTATAAGCAGACATGAATTACCTGTCGATCACTAAGTCGCAGTGTATTCGCAAGAGCTCGTCTTTCGTCGGGACTTAAGTACTTGCTGGCGCTGAACCTTCGCTCCAGGGCCCCTGTCTGAGCTGCCGTGAAGCGCACCTGTCCACCTTTCCGTCTGCCGCCTAACCCCCACCATGGATTGCAGCAGCTCGGAGGTACTGGGGACAAGATGATATTCTGTTAGTTATCAGGTAAATTAGTAGGTATTGATAATTCTGTACTAAAAATAACTTTCAACA